TGCTCCAAATTATACAACTTTTTGAAGTTATTTTAGGTTTAGGATGTTGCAAAATATTTAACGNATACAAAAGCATAAATATCTAGAACTTTTCTAAGGAAATTCTCCATAGTTCTAGAAATTCTCCAAGATATTTTCCCTAACTTATGCAGCCCTTCCATATGGCAAAAATATATGTCAAGTGGCACCTACGTGGCATGATGATGTGGCGGGTCATGACAGACAATTTAGGTAGTTTTTCCTTTTAGGAAATTACACATTTAGCAGCTCAACAACAAATATCTACATTCCCTATTCAATATATATAAATTATACACTAATTATACACTAATTATATATAATATATTATATTGCTAGCGATTTTTTAAGTAAATGGCTATTTAAGTTCATTTCTCTTTCGTAGAATGCACCTTCCATTTTAGTTATTTCTAATTTCTAAAATATCATTGTACTATTTTTGCTCCAAATTATACAACTTTTTGAAGTTATTTTAGGTTTAGGATGTTGCAAAATATTTAACGTCCAAGAATATCTAGAAATTCTCCATAGTTCTAGAATATTCCACCAAAATCTTTTCCCTAACTTATGTAGCCCTTCCATATGGCAAAAATATATGTCAAGTGGCACCTACGTGGCATGATGATGTGGCGGGTCATGACAGACAGTTTAGGTAGTTTTTCCTTTTAGGAAATTACACATTTAGCAGCTCAACAACAAATATCTACATTCCCTATTCAATATATATAAATTATACACTAATTATACACTAATTATATATAATATATTATATTGCTAGCGATTTTTTAAGTAAATGGCTATTTAAGTTCATTTCTCTTTCGTAGAATGCACCTTCCATTTTAGTTATTTCTAATTTCTAAAATATCATTGTACTATTTTTGCTCCAAATTATACAACTTTTTGAAGTTATTTTAGGTTTAGGATGTTGCAAAATATTTAACATCATTTCACTAATAATATTATCTTATATAAATTTTGGCAACCTTTTGGAATTCAAATTCATATAACTGGTCAAAGTTTAGAAATCTTCTTAATGACTATTATCCAATATATATGTTAAAGAAAATTCTTAAACTTCTTATGTAGTCAAATATTGCCATATAAAGTGGGATATGGGCAGTACTATTTTTTTTTTCAATTGCTTTTTTTAAAATATGATGTACTTGAGAAAGATTTATATGCACCTTTTTACTCTTCTCATTCTCTATGGTTTTCTTTCTATAAACCAACCAAAAATAACAGGGCAGGTCTTCATGTTCCCTTAATTATTTACTATAATATTAAAAGTTCATATTTTCAAGTAATTTCCTAATAACCTACAAATTCTAACCATTAGAAGAGTCTCTAATTAATTTATTATTTCAAAAATCGACTCTTTTACTCAGCTATTTTCAAATAGAGTAAAGTTAAGTTACAAATCTGAAAAGACTTTGATTCTTAGTTGGTTTTCAACTTAAAACTATAAGTTAAAAATTAATGAGATTTTAATATGATCAAGTTAAAATGGAGATTGCTAATGTTATTACCTTGACACTAGATCGAGCACTTAAAATATCTTACTTTCTTAAGTACTCATTTATCAAATCGATTTATGTGGTTTAAAATCTAGTCTAGTTGATGTATTCCCATTTTAATTTTAACAAACTTCTCTTATGTATTATTTTTCTCTGGTTTGATTGTTAGTTCTAGGACTGGGTATATATCAGGTAAAATAGATAGTCCAAACCGAAATTAGGCATTAAACACCCATGTCATACCTCCTTCTTCGTCGTCGCGGTCACCAACTTCGCGATTACTGGTAAAAAAATATTACTCGTTCTCGCCTTGGTTACTGGAGTCGGGGCCATTAGAACGAGAAAAATAATACATCATTTTTTACCAGTAAAATATTTTCACTCTCCACCAAGTAGCTCAACAACAACAACAAACCTATAATTTTTAATCAGTTGTTACCTAGGTGTCTGACATGAATTGCAAGTGGGATTTCAAATAAATTTATAAGTTTTGAACTAGTATAATCTTACAAGTGAGGTTTGGGAAGGTAGTGTATTTGCCGACCTTACCTTTACCTTAAGAAGATAGAGATGTTGTTTCCGATAGACTCTCGACTCTCTCAACCAAGACCTTACTAAGGGTTGCTCTAGAACAAGGGGAAAAGTTTTTGTCCTTGAACTATTCAAAATGAAATAATTTTATTTTCCATTAAAAGTTTGAAATAAGTGCTCTTAGTTGTAAATTTGAGCAAAAATCCTTGGCCGAAATCGCGAAGGGTAAAATTATGTTGGATATTTTGTGAACCACGATCGCGAAGTTGGTGACCGCGATGGCGAAGAAGGAGGTATGACATGGGTGTTTAATGCCTAATTTCGGTTTGGACTATCTATTTTATTTGACATTTACCCAGCTCTAGGACTAACAATCGAACCAGAGAAAAATAATACATCAGGTAAATGGTTCAATAATGATTTTTTATTATTTGATTATCGATTCGGGTCTTGGTTTACCCAATAATAAGCTTTGTCAAAATTAATTATAAATTTATCCACTAAGTAATAACGACAACTTAGGCTTCATTCTCTCATTATCTCAATTCTCTCAGTCGTCACTCTTCATCTTCACTATACTCCTTAGGATAAGTTTTAAACTTTTCTAAACTTCTCATCTTCATTATTCGGTTAAGATCTATAGTTTTAAGCTTTTAAAAAATAATTATTCAGAGTTTTTATTCTTTTGGTAGCACTGGTTCTTTAGCATTTAAGAGATTAGGATTTATTATTTATCTTGTGAATTATGCCCACCCGTACTAAGATAATAAGATTAGATTATTGAATGTCTTATTAGTTACTTTGAGAATTAAAATCATTTGTTGGACGAAGTTTTATTTTTTAAAGTTGAAATTTAATCTCCTTTTTCTTAAGAATAAAAATTTAGTTTATTTCTCTCTTAAATATATGATCATGATTTTTATAATAAAAATATGGAATTTTGGATATTTTCTATTCTTATCAGGTAAATTAATAATCGAACCGATAAGAATGGGTAACCGGCTAACGAATATCCCATAATTGATATTTTATCGGTCTGGTTATTGGTTTTCACATATTTATAAATCGATAACCGATTTGTCGAACCGATAATATTTACGATCGAACTGATGAATCAACCGATATCCACTCCTAGTTAGTACGTTGGGACAGTTTGCTTTTGCTTTGCAGATTAAATGAGAGATTAGCCTTTATATAAACGTAGAGATCATACGATTTGAGAATTATTCAATAATTACTCAATTTTAAGATTTTCAATTTCAATATAAGTCAAAAAATCCAATTACCAGATCATATGCAGCGTTTATATCTATAGTTTCTACAAGTGTAAATGGTTATTGTTTGACAAAACAATATGTATCTTATTCAAATAATTAAATTTATGTAATTAGGAATTAAACTTAATTAACAATAAAATTTCTAGATAAAATTTAATTTCAAGGGTACAATAAACAATACATGCGTTCGGTCAGGTAGTAATAACAACATGCAATAACTGTTTTTAAAAGCATGAGCAATAATGTATCATTCAATAGCAATGAATATTAGTAAATGACATTTAAGTAAATAAGAGGAATGATTCACCATATAAAGGATGAAATAGATAGATGTTCCTCCTAACAATGATGAATGACAGACAAATCCTTGAATATTCGAGTTATTCAATAAAGAATCTGATGGAAAAGTATGAAATGTTATAAAAAAGAATCTTAGTGAAAGGTGGTGTTTGTATCTTAGCAAGAGAGTTTTTGTCAAAGTGAGTTCTTACATGTGAATATTACCCGCCTCTATCATTGTTTCTCTTTTCTCTTTATATGGGACATGTTTCTAAGAAACCCTAAAAGCACAAGTACAAAGAACATCCAATAGAATATTCTCTCTAGTATCATATTTTGAAACTAGCCGTTACAGCTCTGCCGAACGTATACGACCTCGACCTCGTCTCTTGTTGACGCATTGACTACGACCCTTGTTGACTCTTCGCTCACAAACATTGTTGCTTCTTTGAGCCATTCCAACGAACGACGACTTGGGAACTCTCTCATCAGTATTATCTTAGCGAGAATATTCTAACGCTAGATTTTGACTCATACAATTATGAGAGGAAGGTTGTTTTAGTTACGAAGTGCTTCTAGGTACATGAAAATGACAATCATTGATCAATTCCAAATTACTTGAATTGATTATATGAATCATCTATATGCATTATGCTCCATTCGAATGTCTGTTATTGGGACTAAGTTGTTCTATTAGAAAAAAATAGTTGTTAATATTGATCAAGAATAAGAAGAGAATAAAAATAACTTATCGAATAAATATTGTGTGTCGTGGCAAGCCACTGCCTTAAAAGCGATTTAGGCCCGACTAGGGCAAAAATCGTTAAAGTTGATCGCTTCCCAAGGTTCCACAACACTTCCAAACACGTGCATATGTTGCTGAAAGTTTGGAGTTTGCACAAAATAATTGCCTAGAGATGACGGAAGAAGAAGAGAAGAAGGTATTTTTTTCCGAATCTGGTCGTGCTCTTGTAATGTACGTATTTGGATACTTTTTTGGTAAGCTCAAAAATATAAAAATAATTTTAGCAAAACTAAATATGGATTAGGGCTCACGCATATCTCGCACGTAGGATGAGGCAAATCGACATGTTTTGCCTTGAGGGCCAACTTCTCATGTGCACGGGGTCACTCCATTTTGCTAGCTCTTTAATTCTAACCCAATAAAGAAAAACTCAATATAAAAAAATAAAAAAAAAAAAAGAAACTTTCACAAGGGATGAGGGACCTTTGTCTTTCATAAAAGACAAAGAAGTGAAAAAGAAGAAGACATACAAAAGTAGAAACTAAACTTATTCCTTAAAGAAATATTCATTCTCCTTAAAGAAATGTCAACAAACAATTGAAGCATTAATCAAATATAAAGACAACTCTTTCATAAGTGCAGATCAAAACAACAATCAAGAGAAACCACATAAGATAATGGCACAAACCACACATAGATGGTTGTGAAAATATTAGTTGACAGTGTTACAGACCCTCCTTATGATCCCATTTCGACCAGTTAGAGGTTGAATATCTGCCATTTTAATCATAGCTTTAGCAAAATCCACAAAAAACACACTATTATTTTTGCTATATTTTGAAACAATACTATCTGTTAATCCTCCACTGAAAAGAACTTGATCAGATTGGAGTAGACCTTTCTTCTGCATTAGGTTCTTGAAATAATTGTTGTCAAAAATTTTGTCTGTGACCAAATCGAGTGGGGCCAAAGTTCCATTCCCTCCATTTTTAGGACATTGACGTCTTGTAATGCTCGCAAAACTTGCATCTATATCTGATGCATTGTATATTCTGTTCCTAAATGAAGAGCACTGTGATTGGCCAATGGTGTGTGCCCCTGCATATAATTGAGTTTGATTCATGGCAAGTAATGAGATTGTTGTTTGGAAAATGAGATATGTCGACACTGGATGCATATGTTCAAGGGCGGCTCAATCACATGTGAGGCCTAAAGCCAAAGTTTAATGTGAGGCCTACTGTATTGGTCAAAATCTGACTGTCACGATCGAACTAACCAACGTCCCGCCTAGGTGACTGGACAGTGAAAGATAGCATAGCCCACTTTGCATCCCTTTCCCGACATCCGTCGAGTCGGAAAGAAGCAACGCCTAAAGGGACGATCGAGACATATTGGAGGTAAGAGGGTGTCGGCCCAAGTAAAGGACAAAGGTGACTTGATTATATATAGTAAGGGAAAACCTTCGATTAGGTGGGCTGCTCCCTTCTTTCTCTCTCCAAAGCTCTCTTCTTGTATTCTTGATAGGAAAGACGTAATCTATAGAAGAATATGTAAAGCTATCTCCCCATCGATCGATGGGAGACACAATATTGAGTATCAATAAAATCATTTACATCTCTTTTATCCTATATGTGATCCATACTATTAGCTCTTTGATCTGAAATTAATTATGTCTGACTAAGATTTACCCCTTCATCTCCTTTGATTGATTTGTTCAAAAAGGTTTCGATATCTTTTGAGTCAAACACTTACCTTTTTTTAAAATATTATAATATATATTTTTATTTGAAGTCTATCATTCTAGCTTTTTGAGAAGCAAAGTTATTACAAGAAGATATAATCGATTTCGTTTAATAATTTCTTTTTAATTGATAATATAACCAAACCATTGTTGGCATGATGGAGTATTTAGTCTCTAGTCCTAAACATAAAAAATAGTAACATTAGTGATTAGATGTGTAATAGTTGTATTTATTTTTCTCTAGCTATTTTTGTAATACTGCTTAGCCTTCTTAGTTAGTATGTTAGTTGGTCTCTTGGGTATTGGGCACCCGGATTGATGTGGCACATTGTATAAATATATAGTAATGGATCTAGAAAGATCCATCAGATATTGTGCCCTCATTTTCGTTACATACAGAGAAGAAAAATGTTCTCTTCACATGGCTTAAAACCCTAATGTGATTTTACCTAAATTCCTCCATTCAAAATGTTTTCACTCATTTAATTTTTCTTGAGACATTATTGATCTTTACTAAGATTTATCAATTTTAAATTTAAAAAAATTGTTTCTGTTGAGATAACTGTTATAGCAAATGTTAACATTATTTTGAAAACAATATAAGTATTTGAAAAAGAATCAAGCCTTTTTATTTGATTGAGTATATAGTATCTTCTACTTGTACTGTTTTCCTTATCAAATTAATTTTGATTCACACATTGGAAAAATATTCATAGTATCCATTTTTAAGTAAGTAAAATGGTTACTTTATTTACATATCTAAAAATCCTTTTTTCCTTTTATATAAAAAATCTACTTTTGTAACTAAAAGTATTATACATTTAATTTTATTTACCTATAAACCTATTATTTTTAAAAACGGGGCCCTCCAAATTTGGAGCCTAAGGCACAAGCCTTAGTAGCTAGACCATTAGAGTCGGCCCTGCATATATTCCAGCATTAACGGCAGAGGCATATCCAAGATTTTACGAATATGAGTGGACCATATGCTATTAAAGAGGTGGAACTAACATTTATATTTGATTGTTTTAATCTTTAGGTTCTTATCATGAATTTACACTTCAAGCTCAATTCTAAAACAAGAAAGAAAAAACAGCAAGATAAACGTGGAATTTGAACCCAATAATTATTACTGCACCACAAGACTCTTTGAGCTTGAGTGTGCGCGCGCGAGCTTGGGTGTGCGAGCGCGTGCACGCACACACACGTATAGCATTTTTTTTTGTTTGAAAAATATATTATATTACTATACACAGAAGCGGACCAAGGATTTTAGCACAACGGGGACACCATTGTACACTAATTACTAGAGAAAAAAATTGGCGTGCAACACTTTGAAATCTTAATGATTGTGATGCATTATCATCTAAGTATAAACAAAAAGAAGTTCTAAAGAAAGGGAAAACACTTAACAGAGAGAGATTTTTTCGCTAAATGGATGCAATGAGAAGGGAAGGTGTTTGATTTAAACCTATTTCAAACTTTAAAATTTAAATTTTTTTCTCAAATTAAAATGGGCATATTAATAGTGAAAGAACTAAAGAAGAGTATCAAACTCTTAGTTGCCATTGACGGGGTCGAAATTAGACGAATATCGCTACTTTGTCAAAGTGATTGTTAAAGAAGAATTTATATTTTTCTATTTGTGGAACGATGAGCTGTAATTTGAGGCTTTTAATTTTAAGAGAGGGATTTAAAAAGGAATAAAATAAATTAAGTTCACATGAATACCAAACTATAATTGAATTCAAAGAATTACAAAATAGAAAGGAGGAGAAAAGCTATAGATGAGTTTCAAACCCATGTACTAAAGCGCTCCACATAAACCATTCCTCTCACCTGCTTTTATTGTGTTTGGAGCACAACTAAAATATTTAACAGGTTCCATATATATATAAAGTTTTTGCCGAATCTAATAGGGTCCCGTGACCACAACCGCAATGTATAGGTCTGCCTCTGACTATACATAATCTATGCAGGGGAACATGGCTTTGGTGAACCCAAGAACCCCCTAAATATGCCCTTGATTAACAAATTATGTCTGACAACATATATAAGATTTCTTACATTATCAGTAATGTAATTTAATCTATCAGCCATTTTTATTAGCTTATCAATTAATATATTTGTAATTACCATATAAATGATCTAATTGTAGTGCATAGAAGTTAAATTCAACATAAATAAACTGTTTAGATTTTCTCAAGATACCTGACAGGACAACCATGTCCTTTGCGCTAAGTCCTTTCTTAGCAAATCTAGAAATAAGAGTGTCAAGATTATCAAAGGGACTAGGAATATCAATGTTTGCTAGAGTACGATTTGCTGTCCTAGAGTCTCTTCTTCCAAGTTTAACCTTCCATGATGGACCGCAAACCTGTAGGTCATTATATAGTCACAGAAGAGATGGATTCAAGATTTAAATATTTAATGTGTTTACCTTTTAAATATATGAGTTCAGATCTAATATTTATTGAAATTTTAGTGGACTTACAGCGACAGAAGCATCTCGTGCTGCAACGGTCAAAATGTCCGCACAAGATACTACTCCAGGGCAGATTTTTTCGAGCTCCCTCTTCGCGGCCTCAACAACATCAAAACCTCTTACAGATCCTTGATTAGGTACTGCTGTCTTCTCACTTGTGATATTTGAAGTCTCGTCAAGTAAGATTGATGCATCACACCCCTAAAATAGAATGAAAAAATTAAAAGAAATACTTAGAGCTTCTTTATCTCCATAAGATAGGGGTAAGGTATGCATACATACTATCAGGGGCGGAGGTAGAGTACTACTTATGGGTTCGGACGAACCTAGTAGCTTTTGCTTAGCCCCTGTATTTATATTAGAGAATTCACTAAATGTGTATAACTATTTAATTGTGTGAACCCAGTAACTAAGACGTGCAATAGGTTCGATGACAAGTTCAGAACCCATAAACTTCAAATCCTGGATCTGCCTTTGCATACTACAAGTTAGCATGGTTCTATATTTTTCACGTCCGTTATTGGCTCTCTCTTTATATATATATTTAAGATTTTTAAATCATAGATATTTAAATATTTTTAATCTAGAAATTACTACTAAGACTGGGTGCCTAATTAATATATTTGTATGAATTACTAGTTTTTCTATATAAGTATTAGTACGTGGCTCCAAAAGTAATGGGTGCTTGAGCACCTATAAAACATAAGACAGATTTGCCACTGTCTATATACGTATAGTTGATAATTTTTTTTAATTAAGTTCTATTGTCAAAACAAATAAATAAAGATGTGACGATACTAAACATCACAAAATTTTAAAATTCGGAATCCGCTTCTAATATATGACAAATAAATACTGAATTAATATATACTATATATGTTACTTGGACAAAGCAATCGTGGAAATGAAGGCGAATCAGTGAAGCTGCCATGCGACGTTCACGCGATACTGCTTGACTCACAGCCTTCTGAATCGTGCTAAGCGCCTTAGGACATGTATTTTCATAAAATGTAGGAGTTAACTGCGCTTCACACTGCATGAATGAAAGAAATAGCAGAATACAAATGGATGCGTAAGCCATAGCTATATAATTAAAAGGTGACAAGAAAATAGCGTAAAAGGTGTAAGAGGAGTTGTACATGCAAGGAATGGTGAATGGCCTCTTTGCACTTATAGGCTGCAAAAGGTGACCATATATTCTTCTTAAATCATGTTCTTTTGGTTTCTCAATCGGTGTCCGATATCCGTTTTGGAGCCCTAACTAATTTGGATTTGCGCTACATAAGGTTAGAGGCGGATCCAGGATTTCAAGAGAATGGGTGCACTACAATTTACATTTGACGGGTTTAAGTTTAGTCTTTTACCATGAACCCATTACACTTTTAAAATTATATGTTCAAAATTATATTCTTTTTGAAATTTCAATAATTTTCACATATATATCTATATTCCATGCCGAAAACAAGACCGTTCGATCGGAGTAGGATTTGAACCTCCATTTTCACTTGTAAAGATACACTTAATAATAATTGCACCATAAGAGTCTTTGAACATGGGTTCACGTGAACCCATAACCCTCAATCTGGATACACCTCTGCATAAGGCCTACTAAATGGAAAAATGCTTCCTATTAAGATTTTTTTCATTATCATAACTCAAATACGAGACCTCTAATTAATTGTGAAAATATCCTATCCGTCCATTTATATTTAAGTAGGATTGTCATGCCAATGCATGTCTCAAACCAACTCACTGGCTTGTTTGGCTGAGTTTTGTTTAAGAGATTTTCTGAGATCTTAGTGCTCTTTAATATTTTTTTGTCCCTTTAATTTTTAATATTCTTGCACCACTAAAATAACTGAATTACTACAATGCTCGACCGATTGATCAAATAAAGTGAACAAAAAGAATGTGTCTTTTCACACATGCACACCTCATTTCTTTCATATAATATAAAGTACTAACTTGCTTAATCTCAAAGTCTTAGAACTGAACAGGGATTACGTCTGGCATTGCTTTACAACACAAATGGCATTCCACTTATAATAGAAACAAATTCTAAAGAAATCATTAACATGCTGTAACATGGAAACAATTGCTACTCCCATGCATTTAATGGATACCTAGCTTCTGGATATGTTTCTCAAGTTTGAGCTGTTCGTTGACCCGCCTATTATTGAGCTTATGATCACGCCCAACTATGCCTTATAAAAGACAAAGCGGTCGTTGCAAATATAATCCGGTTTTCAAGTTCGGAATCGAATCCTCAGGGAACTAGCCTATCTATTACAACTCTTGGTGATGCTATTATCAGCTCAAACAATTTCCAGATGCAAGATTTTTATCAAATAATATTGGGTTTTTGTTTAACTAATTCAAAATGATATTAAAACTAACAATATTCTGAATCAAAGATAATTCAATGGTAAAAAGGTCTAGGGTATTGATTTCCCCAATTGCTAGTTTAAATCTTAATTCTTTTGCTATAATCTCGCTGTAATACTCTATGAGGATTATGAACTATGGGTTATCGCAATTATCTCTCGATCAACTACGATAATTTACTAGAGCATTCTCTCGAACTACTCTAGCTAATAATTTATGCAGCTCTGAATTATCCCACCAACGTTTCGTTATCTCTAACCCCACTTTTAAGTTCAAGTAATGAATCTCTTCAATTACCCAAAAGTGGTGTTGTTCAACAGCAGTCTAACCTAGTATCTTTCTCAAGCAACACAAGGCAATTAGACACGATTAATCAAGGGCCCATTCAATTAATTACCATACAACACATAGTTGAACAATCATATAATAAACCCAGCTCGATTATGACAAAATTGAGTCAAAACTTCATCTAACAATTGGTTCCATTAACCCTAGATTAAATGTTTAGCTACTCATAGCAAAGCAAGATAAAATTACAAAAGTATTCATAATGTGCAATTGAAATAACAAAGAGAAGATAGAAAAATTCTAATGGTATGTTGCTCTTCTCACACTTGTTCTTGCCTCCAAATCAGTCTAAAAACAAGCTTAACCTTTTCTTTGGCGAATTTGTTGAGTTTATAAGGGGTTAGGATAAGTTTTCCCCAATTTACATTTTAGTCCCACAATTTCTGGCAGTTACACAGTCGATCGCGGCCACGGCAGAACGCGACACGACCACGGTGAAACACAAACATTCTGCCTCGCTTTCTTGGCCTAGCGCGGTCCAGTTGCGGTCGACCGCGGTCGCGGTGGCCTTCAGCCCAGTCCTCCTTTGCCTCTTTCTTGCTTATTTTCACTCGGGTTCTTCTTGATTGGCATTTTATCCATATTATTAACTCCAAAATACTCCATAGTCTCTTCCTAACTTGGATTAGTCCCTGTGAAGCAAAAGAACACCAATTAGAGTATTTTGTTATCATTTAGTCTTTAAAAAAACAATAAAGCATGGTACATTTAGGGTGTAACTATCGTCTATATAGCTTATTATCAACACCACACACTTAAATCATTGTTAGCCCTCGAGCAATCCACCACACTCTATAAGAGTTCCTTCCCTAAGCTTTTCCCCTAACGTATCACACCAAGAACAACTCACCAAAGTTGCGCCTAGTAGTGAATAACCTTTGCCTCAAAAATCAAATCTCACGTGCCGTGCGATATTCGTACTTACTCAAACTACTCTATACAGAAGTCAAGACTTACCTTTCCTTGGTGAATCACATGCCCTCACATCACACATGAGAGTAGTTCTACAAATAATATTATTAAGAACAATTAGGAACTCACATAGACAAAATTCGCTCACTCTCAAAAAGAACATTCACATGCCACAAAGATGCACCATAGGCTTGCCCGTAGTGTACTACTCTACTAATCGAGCCTATTCAGTCTAAGATCAATTAGGACTTCACTTGGTTGTAATGTAGGCTAAGGGACGGGTAGGATATATTTGGATATAGTGACTAACCTCCCTAAGCACTTTTAATACAATCACATTAACCTTCAAAATCATACTTATGTCAACCAGACATTCCACCACATTTTTATTTATAACATCCCACTCCATTAGGTGCAATTGTATCAAGTCACCACTTATCAACTACTATATTTACTCATTCTTTTTTTTTATGTGGTGCCTATTCTTTTACTTTTCCAAAAACTGCACCTTTCCTATATTTTATTGGTTCCACTAAAAAATCAAACCCCCCCACACTTTAGCTTTTGCATATTTCAAGGCCATTTAAGTGCTCATGGGAGGTAAAAGGGGTTCAAACAGATGGGCCATTCAAACAATTGGGTAAGGTTCGCAATATGGTTGCCAAAGAAAGAGGCTTTATAGGCTCAACGGGGTTGACTACGATGTATTACATTTAGGTGGGTCTATTTATATATCTGGCTTAACAAAGAAATGCCTATATCACTTCTAAGACTGAATGAAGCTACTATTTCGCTTTGCAAACACACGGGGCAAGTTCTAGGCATCAAATGTAAAGCATAGAATTCAGTACAACTCACACACACATGGCACATGACTTACTCCAGATTGGCTTATCAAGACACTCTCTTTTGAGTGCTTAAGTCAGTTACAAACATACAATTTAAGGCACTTTAGCAAGAGTCAACCACTGAGACTAAGTATTACACTCTAGTATCTACTGTGTTCAGGTGTATCAATGCCAAGGGTTTCTCTTTCTATTTCAGCTCGTAGCCCATCAATACTAACTAAAAAATAAAAACAAAATAAACAAAAAAAACTACCTATACCCGGTTCAAGCTAAACCCTTGAAAAAGAACCGTGGCCCAAAGAAAAACCAAGAGGGAATTACTACACTACCTAAAACAAAAAAATCTTTTTTGTATTTTCTTTAGACTTATTTCCCTCAAGGAAACTGTCTAAAAGATCCGTCATCAGGAAGAGTCCCCATATTCCTGATTTTTTTTGTTCAACTTTTATCCCTCAAGAAACCTATCGAGAGGTGTCCGTCTTCGGGCCAAGTCAAAGTTAACTAACATGACCCAACAATACCAAACAAACAAAAAGAAAACAACACCATACAATTTTTTTTTACAACAACAGCCATCCCCCACCCCACACTTATAACTTTGGCATGTCCCCATGTTAACAAATATAAAGCACAGTAAGGGAAGGGGACTTTCCTGGTGCTCATTCCTGATCAGAGACGATGCTAGGATCGAGGTGACACCCTCGTCCTAGAGCCCGGAGCCATCCCATGATCTTTTTCTCCGACTTGGCCTGTTGAGTGGTCAAAGTGTCAACTCTGGTACCCAGGCCAGTGACAGAAGTGCGGAGACCAGCCATTTCTTGCTCCATGGCTGTCATGTGGGTACTTCAGGTGGGCCTGTGGTGGGCCCTCCTCATCAGCTCTCGGAGGTGGTGGAACAGCAGCATCCTCAGCATCCTTATCAGATTCATCATCATCCTCAACCATCACTACCAGCTCTCTCCCAATTGTGATTTTGCTAGCCCGGAATGGGGTTTTCAATGGCAATTTCCCATCAACTTTGGGATTTTTCGGAACTCTTGCAGCACGACACAACTTGGTCAACAGAAAGGGGAAGTAAAATCTTTTGAGTACCTCTGGGGAGCGAATGAACATCTCATCATGGAGGAGCTTGGCGACATCAAAATCCTGGTGGGTCATAAAAGAGTAGATAACTGTTGTTCGTGGCCCATTGACATTGGTAGTATTGCTGGAGGGTAGTAACCGACTGTTGATAATTGTGAGCCAACACTTAGCCTCCCAATTGAGAGACTGAAAGTTCAATGTGATCCGATGCTTTATCCATATATGGTCCCTATCAGGCACACATATTGCTTCGAGAATTGGTACCCACCAGATAGTTGGGCGATGAGAAGCAATGTAAGTATCTCTATCCCCAGTGAATACTGGCAGCCGATACACTCGGCGGATGGCCTCAAGGGATGCATTTACCCGTGTGTTTCGTACTGTGACCACCCCATTCTCATGCTCCAGGCAGTTAGCATAGAACTTCCTAACCGCCTCCTTCGGTTCCTCAAAGAAGATGTCCAACTGACACCTTCTCAACTCAGCAAAGATATTTGGGCATTCCACTTGCAAGGCTTCCCGATCAATATGCACTTTAGGTAACAATTTCTTGGACGCCTT